TGCAGACCAGGCCTCAGAACTGTGTATGGGCTGCATTGTTGTCCTCACACATAGAACCACAGCTCAGAGAGGGGAATTCCTTCCCCGAGGTGCTCACATTTTGTTAACAGCTTAAAGGGATAGCTTTCAACCAGATTTCTCCATTAATTCAAGAATTTCTAGCCCTCATTGGTGTTTCCCAACTAAGACATCTTTCCAAACATATTTATCCCTAACTGTGGTCCAAACAGCAAATAGAACAGCTCAAGGTAAAGAAGTCTAAGAGACCAGTGTAGATATGTTGCTTAAAATGGTTCTAGATATTAAATTGCTCTCATTTTTGGGATTGGGGGACTCCAAGGCAGAATCTGTGCAATAGCTAATACATCTCATTCAAAATGTCTTAGGAAGAAAAAATTGCTTCCGTTATTTAATCAGGCAGTCCGTGCACTTAGCTCCTGGACTGCGGGTCTCCTTGGGCAGCAGGAGCAGCGCTACGGACTGAGAAGCGGTGTAAAACTTCTGCGTGGAGTGAAAGAAAATGGCCCGAACCTAACAGACAGCTTGCAAATCACGGTTGGGAAAGCGCAGGCACACAGCTGGCCGCTAAGCTGCGAGGAAAAGCGCCCCCTCTACCGGTTGGGTGAAGAAGCCCCATCGCTACAGGGTCTGGACAATTGCACTGGAAGAAATCTAGAGGGCTTCTGATCCGGAAACTGCCTTTCCAGAGGTTGGTAAGAGAGATGGACCAGGATTTCAAAACTGCCAAGATTTATTTTACATTTACTTCTCTGACTCTCTTTTTTCCTCTATTTTAAATCTGTGTATATGTGTATCTATATATAACATATAGTTATTTTTGAGAGTAGAGTTGCACATGATATTGCTTTAACCTTAATTCTCAAATGTGTATTTCTTGCAAAATAGGATTTATCTTATATAATCAAATAACATTATTAATTTCCCCCCTCCACCCCACAGTATTCTAATCTAGGAGTGGGGAGCTTCTGGCCTGGGGGCTATATACGGCCCAGAGACCATTTGGTCTGGCCCTGCCAAGGCACTAATGGTGAGTTACTTAAATGTTTGATAGCAGGCAAATTGTTTTTTTAAACATATATTTTATTGATTTTTTTTAAGGAGAGGAAGGGAGAGAGATAGAGAGTTAGAAACATTGATCAGCTGCCTCCTGCACACCCCTCACTGGGGATGTGCCCACAACCAAGGTACATGCCCTTGACCGGATTCAAATCTGGGACCCTTCAGTCCTCAGGCCGAAGCTCTATCCACTGAGCCAAGCCAGTTAGGGCTATGCTCTGATCTGTATTATTTCCTTCCTTCTATTCACTTTGGGCTTTGTTTGTTGTTCTTTTTACGTAAGTTAGATTACTTATTTGCATTTTTTCTTCTTTCTTGAGGGAGGTCTTAATTGCCATGAATTTCCCTCTTAGAACAGAACTGAATTCACTGTGTCTCATAGATTTTGATTTATTATATTTAGATTTTTTTATTTG